CTCTCACCATCCATCTACTTCCCAGAAAACATATTTGAACTCCCTCCTCCATTTTTTTGCATTGTGGACTTGATATATCCTCTTTCAATGATATTCATGATAATGACCTATACCACATTATTATTATGAGCACTCTGATACCCCTTTTAAGTGCCCTGGTTGTATCCTACAGTAGAGAATTCAAAATATCTCTCAAAGCTACGGCTCCGGATTCTGTAGGATGTATATGCGGAAGGTAAAATGTATTTAACATTGGTGTAACTGTGTTGAGCTGTCACACTCCATGTTATCACACACAAAACAATCAGAATAGACAGAGGATGGTTTATACCCACAAACCCTCAAGATAAGGCATGAAAGAGTACCTAATGTAGCCTAAATGGAGTACCTAATGTAGTACCTAAAGAGGCTAAATGTAGACCTGCTGAATAATAAGATCAGTCCCTAAATCCTTGACGATGTAGATTTGCAAGGCAGCAAACGTTTCTATGGAACTTCTAAGTGAAACAACTGATGACAATATATGCTGGAACTATCTGGCTATCACCTTAATGTTTACTGCTAAGAGCATGCGCCGAAATGAAACAATAAACGAACTCTGTTGCACAAAGCAGGAAATTTTGGACTCTTCTCCCACCAACTCCTTGTCAGTGTCCATACTTGTGCTGATTTATGTGAGGTGAAATCCTAAATATTTGGAGATGCAAATATTTTCCACCCCACATAGTTATAGGCTGTTTTCTAGATGTGTGTGCGTGTGCATGCATGTGTGCTTTCAAGTTGACTGCCATAGGATTTCATAGGATTTTCTTAGGTAAGGAAAACTCAGAGGTTGCTTTCCCAGTTCTTTCCTCTAAAATATAACTAGAACATCTGGCATTCATTGGCAGCCTACCATCCAAGTACTAACCAGAACTGGCCCTGCTTAGCTTTCAAGATCATATGGTATCTGGTGCCCCATTGATATATGCCTGCTTATAAATCGCTAACAGAGTAGCAGTCATCAGTAGTCACACTACAAAAACAACTGAAGTCTGGGTTGTTGTAGGTTATTTCGGGCTATATGGCCATAGTCTAGAGGCATTCTCTCCTGAAGTTTCGCCTACATCAATGCAGGCGAAACATCAGGAGAGAATGCCTCTCTAGACCATGGCCATATAGCCCAAAAAAACCTACAACAACCCAGTGATTCCGGCCATGAAAGCCTCCGACAATACATTCAACTGAAGTCTAATGTTAAATCTGAAATTGTTTTAACATGTAATGGTACAATTTCTGATCCTAATGCAATTAATACAAAGTGGTGATTCTTGTTCTCTGTGGTTTTACAACTGAGAAATAAAACGGTGTCCCTATGCAACCTGGAATGCTGTTAAAACACCTTGTCATTGCTCAGTACCTTCCTCATTAAACATCCACGCCTTCGACTGCATTCATTTGCCTTTCAGCTCCCCCAAGTGCTGCTGCTGGGTAAAACACTTGCCAATCTTGCATAAAAGGTTCTTATAAGGATTCAAAAGCACTGTGTATGATCATTTGGGATCTAACTTCACTATGGTTACTAAAGCTTTAAAATTTCTGTGAAAGAGAATATTTCTCCCAGTTTAATAGCTCCTCAAAAGAAGTATCATGTCCTTTCAATACCCAAAATAATCCTATTAAACTCTTTCTCTTTCCATTTCAGCATTTTACATTCAGAATTACATGCTAAGCAAGCCCCAAAGCCAAGTAAAACGTTCTTCTACCTTAACACTCATATGAGTATTTTAAGATGTAATCCTCCACACATTTGTTGTTATTTTATGCCAGTGGAGTCAAACTTGTGGCCCTCCAGGTGTTTTGGATTCCAGGCACCAGAATTCCTGGACACTGGACAAGCCAGCTATGGTTTTGGGAGTTGGAGGTTCAAACATCTGGAGGACCACAAGATTGACACCTCTGTTATATGTCTTCAAGTTATTTCCAAATTATGGCAGCCACCATATCACAGGGGTTTATTGGCACGATTTGTACAGAAGAGGTTTGCCTTGGTCTCTTTGGCTGAAAATGTGTGACTTGTCCAAGGCCACTCATTGGATTTCCAAGACTAATCGGGAAATTGAAGCCTGGTCTGCAGAGTCTTAGTCCAATGTTCAAACCACTACACCATGGTGGTTCACATGCATGCTGACTCATGAGTAAATCACACTTAACTCAAAACAAGCTTACTTCTGAGTAGAACTGCACACATAGGAATGAATCACTATTATTGTCAGGAAAAACCAGGGGTGTTGAGAAGCACAAAGGGTTGTAGATGGGAAGCAAGAGGCTTAGAACAGTCCAATGGGGAATGAGCATACTTTGTAGCTACAGACTGATGAATTACTTTGTAGAAGCTAAAAGCAGGATAAAAGAGCAAAGGGAAAATGGCAAGCACTGTCCTTAAAAGGCCATAGCTGGATGACACTCTATACATAAGGAATTCGCATCGCAAGAGTTTGTTGCAGACTTCACCTATGTGCCCTGAAGTCCGATGTGTGCTATTTGGACCCTCTTTGTTCATATATATGTACTATGCATACCAAAGATTTATCTCGCTCCCCCTCCCCCCTCCCCACACACACAGTTTCAAGTCCAAAGATGAACAGGGAAACTATCTCAAAAGTTGGATTTTGGAAGGGTGGAAAGATACATGGTTTGTCTCAACTATTAACATGCACCACCGGATTGTCAAAATTGAACACCTGTTGATATACTTGTCCCAGTATGGCACTGCCACAGTTGGATGAACTGATATAGAATGCTACTTGAATTTTTTGCAATGTTTGGTTGCTAGTTTCAGAAATGGGTTAAAAAAGTTATCTCTCTATCTCTCTCTCTATATATATATGGGTGTGTGTCAGGCTTTACACTTTGCCACTTTCTGTAGCATAATTTGATCAGACTGCTCAGACCATTTTTAGATACAGCAGTAAGGCAACAATGTCACCATGGGAGAATTCATCTTTAGACAAGTGTTTCCTGAGGGAGAAGTCATATTCCATTCAGGCATCTAAGTTGAGTTTCTTTACACGCAACCATCCAATGACCTACCTAGCTACCTGCCATTGAATTTGCTGATCACAGGTTCTGTTCAGTGGCTTGGAATCAGAATCACAAACTGGGATCAAAAATGGAGAGAGGCCATCCATGTGAGTTTACTCCTTCCGGATACATATAGTAATATCATGTCCAACTGTAGTGATCTCAGAAACTGTCATTCTTGAATTTATACAGAGATGTTCCTCCGCAGAGTATACTGAGAGCTGTCTAAAAAAATGTGACATCTTTCCCTTTATGGATCTGGGTTAATTTGGAATTTTTGTTTTGCTTTGATTTTTTTGAAGTCTGATAATCCCATTTGTGGTTCATCTTCCATTTTTTCCCCTACAGGCAAGGTCTTTGAATTCCTCCAAAACTCAAAGGTGTAGTGAAATGGGAGGAGCAAACAGGCTTAATATCTTTATGGCCTCCCTTCTTAGTAGAAGAGTAGGGATGGACTGATAACTCATCTCCTTAACCTGCAATCATCCTGTTTGCATGCATATTTCTTGTCTGATAGGACAACTAGGAGCACAGTTTAAAATGTATTGCCAACCCAAGTACCACACCTTATTTTCATTTAATTACGTTGGTCCTGAAAATTTACCATTTGTACATATCATAGATGTAACTAATGGCTGAAATGAAAGCCTACTGAACATTTTTGATACTTGTAACAGCAAAACAGCCTTTTGACACTTTATAGCATCTGCCAGAATAAGAAGAAAGACTATTTTTGGGAAACAAAAACTTAGAAGCACAGAAGGCTACCTTAAAGTGAGTCACATCACAAGTATACCTGTCTCATGATTATTTACACCGATTATTAGATGCTCTTCAGAGTTTCAACCTGGGACCCTTACTCAACACGCTAGTAGTGACATGCCGTAGGACTGAACATGGGACCTTTTGCATGCCCTACAAAGTATACATTGTAGCACTCAGCCATAATCCTTCCTTCTATTATCTGCAGCAGTTTCACATGTCCTAGGACTTAAGCCCACCAGAATGGGTCAACGGCCTTGGCAGAGCAAACCAAACCCAAGCTAGTCTAGTATTCTCAATTGCCTCACAGTGTCACAAAACATGTCTCTCTCTGCTGTTGTGAAAACCAAATGCTATGGTTTACTTTTCTGTGTAGTCTTTAGTGATTGCCTCCATGGTGAATTTGTGACCAGAAGCTGTAAAGAATCCGCCTAGCCCTCGTCAGTACTTTCTGTGAATTCCCAACTGATTACAAATCCCTTTTCTCTAACTAAAGTAATATAGACAATCTTTCTGCTATACTAGTCACATAGTACATGGAAACCTGAGCTTTCCCTAATTGTACTTCAATCTCCAACGGTGTTTCACAATTTCCCAAAAGCATCCAACCTCCCTAACTGGTAAACCCCAAATCCAAACCACCCTCATTTCTTGCCCTCTGTCTATCATTAAGAGTCATATTCCAGCCCTGCACTGGGAATGGTCTACTAATCAATACTTCCTTTCTGTAAACAGTACTGGTAACATAATCCTTACATGTTTCAAGACTAATCTTAATCAGTTTTCTTGAAGTGATTTTTTCCATTGTGATCTAGCACCAATGTACACTACACATATTCCCGTCACTTTAATGTTGTTGTGTTGGAGTATACATATATAAATGCAGGCCTGCATACCTGTGTGATGGCTACATACTAGCACTGGGGAATACATGCCTCACAGATAACAAATGATTAATTGCTGAAGAAATGCAAGGCTGAGAAACAGATCTGGGAAAGGCAGAGATCAGACATTCTTTTCAAATCCTCTTGCTGAAATTCCAGTGCAGAAAAATACAACATTCTGTCATCCCCTATCAATGAGCTTATGCTTGATGTCTGGGTTTTTTTTAACTCCAGAAAACTCTGCAGTCCCAGTCGGCTCCCCCAACAAGATGAAGAAACTGGAGTTCATACCTGACTATAATTTTGTGTTAATGTGTTTTCTGGAGATGGTTTGTTGCGTGGTTGCCCTTCCTGCTGACTGCAATCCAGCTGGATGAGGTTCCTGCATTCCTGATGGCAGGTGTACTTGCAGTCTACAAAGGAAGCACAAAGTGAAACACAATTAAGACATAGACTGAATAATAAGTATCAGGATCTTTAAAACAGGCATTTTCCCTCTTCAAAGACATGTCAGTTTATTGGAAAGACAACCAAGTTCCCCCACAAGTCTCAAGTTGCTCCTGACACGAAAAAAATAACCCATAAAGTTTTCCAAAACCACATACACAGAAATGCAAAGGAAAATATGATTGCATGGCCTTGTCTTTAACATCCACAAAGAGAGAGGGAAGAAAGCTTGCTTAAAATAACTTTTAGGGCCCTTCCACGCAGCCATATAACCCAGAATACCAAGACAGATAATCCACAATATCGTTTTTGAACTGGATTATCTGAGTCCACACTGCCATATAATCTAGTTCAATGTGGATTTTATATAGCTGTGTGGAAGGGGCCTTACACATCGTACCTAAGACCTGTATGTCCTGCATAAAGTTTTGAAATGTATTTTACCACAAAAACCCTATAATGAGAAAATCTAAATTGAAACAAGAGATAGTGTCATAAAATAAAACTTCCAGCTTCAATGCCACTGAATGAGCTATGGAGACACAGCAGAGGGCAAATATGAGTAGTGCTTTGGCTAATGACACAACTGGACTCAAACCAAAGGTTTGTTCAGCTGATGATGTGCTAAGAAGTTAAAGAAAAGTCCCAAACTGTAGAACATATATTACAGAAACATAGAGTGTAGGAAGCATGAATCTAGACAATAGTTAAACAAAGAAGTTAGACACAGTCCAACAAAAAATGGAACATATAAACATTATAATATTTTATGTGAGGGGTTAAAGTAAACAGAAATGGGACATTTTGAGTCAGATACATAGTGTTTTACTCAGGAAATTAAAATATGAGAAGAAATGGAGTGGCATTAATAGTGAAAAGAGATGTAGCGAAAGCATTAAAGGGATTTCACACAAAGTCTTGCTAAAAATATCAATAAGGCTTTAAGAAAAACCTATCAATATAACATCATCCAAGTTTATGCTTCAACTAAAGAGCAAGATGGAGATATTGAAAGATTCAAGGCTGGAGTCCAGAAAAAAATTGATCGCACACTAAAATAGTGCTTTTGACAGGCAGCTGGAATATAAAAATGGGAAACAATGAAGAATCAAAGATTGTAGAAAAATTGGCCTAGGATCAAGAAATTAAGATGGTCATCCAATATCTGCTTAAGATGTACAAAGAAGGAGAGTCCACCACCCACAAAGATAGTTTATGTCATTCTCAAACAGTCCTTGTATTGAGTAATTTCTTTCTAATGTTGAAGTACAATCTCTTTTAAATCCATTTGTTCATATTCTGGTATTCAAAAAAGCAGAAAACGAGCTTGCTACGTCGTCTAGATTTGTTGATCAGCATAAGAACCAATTTATCTAAGGGCAGCTCCTACATTCTTTGGGTTGAGCTGTCCCAAAACAACACAACGTGTTTTTGTTCTCTAGCCTTGTTCTTGACAGCAACCACAAAGGAATAGCATCCCATACAGACAGTTATATGGTTTTTATTCTTGATAGCTGTTCACACTAAGTATTAGAGTACCAGGCTTCCTCAGAACTGTCATTCCAAGCATTCCTTATAGACAAGCCATGGAAGTTTGTCAACCGAGTTCATGTGAACAGTACAGTATTTTGTATATTTGCTATATTCATATTCTATCCTTCCTTCAAGGCTGCCTACACCTTCTTTGTCTCCATTTTAATCTTTATATCAATTTAGTAAGTTACACAGACCTAGAGAAAATCACTCTTTGGGCTAATGCTCCCTGGAGGGATGGGGGAACTGTAGTCCAAAATGCTGATGCTGAGAGATAGGGTTGGTACAAGAACACTCAATAAGTTTCGTGGCTACTTGGGATTTTGGATCTGAACTTCCCCTACTCTAGTTTAATTTTCTAACATTTACTAGCTGCCAATGATACATGATCATTGTGAAGGAGAAAATCCTGTCAATGTTGCCAGCTGTGGCAAACTGTGAGAGAACAGAATTCAGACATCAGTAAAATGGTGAACTTAAAAGGAATTTTCTTATCTTCCATTTTTAGATTAACTATCCAGTCAACATGCTATAGTGGATTAAGTGTTGGACTACAACTATGGAAACCAGGGTTTAATCCCACACTTGGCCATGGAAACCCACCCTCAGATCCAGAAAACCCTGTGGTACTGTTGCCATAATTTGGAAATGACTTGGAGGCACAGCGACAACTAAGAAGTATGTTATATATTGAGAGGCTCCACTGCACGGACAGGCCACTAATTCGTAAGAATGGGTTTGTGCCAAACATGGCAGCCACAACAGAATTCTTAGCACATTGCAGCTTCCCTGCTAAGACACGGCATCCAGCATTATAATGGCCAGGGCCTCAGCTGCCTTTCTAATATCATCAAAAATCATGACTGCAGAAATAAAATGCTATTCCTTTTATGTTAAAAGGCTGGGCTTAGAAGTCAAATGGCCCACAGACTTGGAATGCAGTGTTAGGAAGGAGGAGGGGAAAAATCAATAAACCAAAAAGCCTGCAAATCACTGTAATTAAAAATGAAAATGTAAAAGGCAGCTGGCCGCTGTATAGGCAGCCCATTAAATAATGCTTTCATGGGAATAGCAAGCAATAATACTCACACACAAGTGATAACTTGGAGAGAAAGAGAAGTGGTAGTTTTTTGCTGCAGGTAAAATAAATTCTCTTCAAACACTTTGCATAGGTCTTTTATATTGTTGTGGTTTTTGAAGAATGATGTTTCAGAGGATGAGGAAGGGGATTTTGTGAGGTCTCGGGAGAGGTTTTGGGGGGATGGAAGTGGCATGGAGAGATGTGTCAGTGATCCTGGGAGTTCTCTGTATGTTAGAGAAAGCAAAATTTGTTCCCATGAGAATCTGCCAGAGTTTGCTCCTGAGAGGAATGTGGGGGAGTGTGAGTCTGTTACTAGGTCGGAATGGCTATAGCTGCACCACAAGAAGGTGAAAGAAAGACAGACTCGCTATTCCCAGCAGCTTCGAGATAAGCAGAGGAAAAGTAGGTGCATGAGAAGTGATGTCATGGGAGCAAATTGAGACTTTTAAGTGGGCTTCAAGCATACAACTCTTTGTGAGAACAATGTTGCCTTCAAGTGGATAAAACTCCTAAGTTCTATGGCCTTGCTCCAAGTGTCCAAATTTCTGGATTGTGTGTCTTTTTCATGTTTTTTTTTGGTTAAGTTTCAAGTTTCTAGATCATAATTCCTGTTCAGGTCTTCATGGTTTTTGGTCTGGATTATGCTCTGTTTTTGTTCTCAAGTTCTGGATATAATTTTGATCAAGTGTATGAATTTTGCCTTGTTTCCTTGTATCATCTCAAAGTGCAGTTCCAAGTTTTTGCAGTTCTGTGATTTGATTCATGAAACTAAATAGCTGGGGCATAACACACACACGTTACACACACGTTAGGTGAAATTTTCTTCACCTATCATGATGGTTTAAACTGCAATTACATGCACACACAAAATTATAGGATTTTTTCCCCAGAAATAATATGATCTGTCTGTGGGATGTAATCTTAAGCATGCACACTAGGAAATCTGCACCACTGAGCTCAGCAGAATGGCTAATATCATGCTATTACACACTAGTCACATTTATAGCAGTACAGACATATATTTTTAAAAAACCAAGTGTTTGGCATTTTCTTTTAAAAAATGTATCTTCCCGCTCTCACACCCAGCCCTAGGATGCCAAAGTTTACCATATAAACAGCAGAAGCAGACAAATCAAGTCAGCATTTTCAGGCACTTAGAGCAGCTACGCATTTGAACATTGCCTTGTCTTTAAGGCTAGCAGTAGCCAATTCAATTTTGTCTCCCATCATGACCCTCAACAAGGCTGATAAAAGAAAGAAAATATTCATATATTTCTTCAATTATATGTTGTTTGGAATATAATACAGTATAGGATTTACATTAATGTACTCAATAATTGGCCCTCCTATAGTTATCAATGGACATAGTATGTTTCAAGAAAGGTGGGATAAAACAAAACACCTGACACGGAATGGCCAAAGTTTCTACACCTTTATTTCAATTACCATAATTTATTCTTTAACTTTCCTGCCTCATTTGGACTCCTTTTGCTCCCTGTATCATTTCTTTTTTTTAACTGTTAGCTTCCTTAACTCTCATTTTAGCACACAAGTTTGATAAAGATTTGATAACTCTAATAAATGAAACAAAAATGTGACTGCCTGAATACTATTTCCAATTACCACACTAGGTATACTCACAGGATGAAAGATTTTGAGATAGAGGCTGTGTCCGAAGATTAATGTTCTAACTGCAGAGGATTTATCTGAATTGTTTAGTCAACTTTCACTGTTTACTTGAAAATCTAAACACCAGTGCTGAATTATTATATTACAACTAAACACAATGACCCTTCCATAATTTATTTGATGAGTTGATCCTTTCACAAATGGATTTGTGTAAATATTAAAGATAGAACAAATGCAGCATGGCAAACATCTCTTAGAAGCTGCATCTACTGCACGTGTTTCATATTCAGTCTGAAATGTATAGTCAAAATATGCACATACGCACATATATGTGACCAATACTGGCACCAGGGCTCCCTTCCCCGTGATATAACATAGTCACTTGGTTCCAAATTTGTGGACAGGGAGAAGAAAATGTGCTTTGAATTTTGTTCCATTACACACCTGGGCTTCAGCTCCACTTGTTATTTTAGGTAAAACAAATAAATAGACACTATTACTGAGTGCTTGAGAATTCAACAAAATCACTAAATTCCCTCGTAACAACTGAAAATCTATTGCTTTCCTTACCTTCCTCTTATCTAAAGTTTCCCTCCTTCATGCACACAAGAAAGATACTTTTTTTTTGTTGTGTCAGGAGCAACTTGAGAAACTGCAAGTTGCTTCTGGTGTGAGAGAATTGGCTGTCTGCAAGGACGTTGCCCAGGGGACGCCGGATGAAAG